CTGTTGCAAGCGACATCGCCTGCCAGTCTGCATGGCCGAAGTTCCACGTTACAACCCAGTAGACTGCAGACATTCCCACCTTCCTCAAGTAGACCCAATCGCCTTTGACACCCAGCATTGCAAAGTGCAGCTTGATGTCGCCCATGTTGGTGGAAACCTGAAAGCAAGCAAGTCGGGCCCAGGGTCACAATCTGCAGCAGAGCAGCGCTACGTACATGGTTGCGACCTCGGAACTGTTACTCCTGTCGTGAAGAGGTCGGTGAGGTCGGTGGCTAGGGCCTTGTTCAAGCTGTCGAGTGTTGCATCGCCCCAATACAGTTCAGCCGGCAACACGGTATAGAGAAATCTCGTAGCATAGGTGTGCCTTCGGGTTGTTGCAGGTATAGATTGCAGGTCGGACCTATTGTTCTGTGATGTATATGCAACTCAAAATTTTCTGAAATGATCCTGAGACCCACTGCTGTTCTTGCAAGAAGTGCCACGAAAGGAAATTGCTGGTTGGAAGGCTTCCACCATAATAGGCAACTTGTACTTCCCTCTGCCTTCATCACCATGGATGTAAATTGGTACAGTCAGGGTTGGGGCTGGTGAGCCTGGTTGGTTCATGATATGATCTTTGTCGCAATTCTTGTACCTGGCCCAAAACTCAGCCAGCAAAGCTTGCCACTTTGCAGTGTCCTGCAAGTCTAGGCCCCCAAGCAATAGGTAGGCATGCTTTGCTAGCAGATAGGAGACCCATGTGCTGGGGTATATCACGGGATACCAGACCTGCACCTTCTTGACAACAGGTCTCCTTTTGCGAATAGCACATTGAACCAAGCTGATGGTAACAGGAACCGTGACTCCTTCCCGATGTATCAGCCGGTGTAAATTGCGGCACACATTTGCCGCACTCCGCCCAGCAGCTGCAATCTTGTACAACATGTCCAGCTGCCCTAGGACTGAACAGGAATGTGCCCCCTGCATTTGCATGAGACATATGTGCAACTGTGCATCGGCGACTGGAGCCAATCTTGCAAACCAGCTTTGCCATGTTCGCCGAACCCTTTGCAGATTCTGCCTAAGCTAGCCAGGCCCCACGTCAAAAACAGCATCGCATTTTTGCCAACCACGGCACACCACTGAAATATTTCGAAAGAATCTCATCCGATATCTCGAGGTCCAGCTCGTGATCTTTCTCATCATCCAGCCGCGTGGGCCCTGCAATCATTCAGGCTTCAATGCTATAGCATTTATAGATCTACGTTCTCAGCATATGGTTTCGGCTGCGGCCTGAAGCCTCAGAGATTGGATCGATACAATATATACTTCAGGCCTTTAGGTGACTTGTGAGGATTTCACCTAGACTTTCTCACAGTTTCTTCGAGGTTTGGGTTTAATTAACATCATACATGCATCGTCAAGAGGCAGCTGGGGCTTATAGGATTTTCGTTGGGATCCTACAGGAATTCCAAGTGAAGGCTCGTTGCATCTTCAGGGCTTTGGGTTTAGGGGTCGCACCCTATACTCCCTAACCCATAAGTCTAAAGCCTTATGGCTCCAGTATGAGATGTTTGAAGTCAAGCCACCACCAGCCAAGAGATTGAGGTTCGGGTCCGGGATTGGTGCACCTGGCCACTTAATAGGCATCATCACACTCATGTGCATGTCATGCACAGTACCGTGTTGCCAAAAAAGCAAACTTTTTCAGTTCGATACCCCAGCCACACACGTCGATCTAATTTGCTCGCATGGTTGTCATGCGTGAAAGATCCGGGAATGCACAGAAAACCTGCGGTAAATGCTAAGGGGCCCAGCAGTGCAGATATGCGCGGAGTGTGCGTGTTCATGATGCATTGAAGTCAAACGGTGTGATGCAGCTACGACCCAGGTTGCACCACAGGAATCTCAAGCCATCATGAAAAGCTAGCATGTGCACATCGAAGCAAAGGTGCCCTCATCAGCTCCTCTTCCTTTTGGAAGCAGGAGCCTTTGCCGCAGTCTTCCTTTTGCCAGCTTTCGGTGCAGCCTTGGGGGTGGCCTTGCCTTTGGACTTTGGCGAAGCTTTGAAGCCCCTCAGGATCTTCAGACCCGCGGAGAATTGAGTCAGGCAGTACTATAAGCCACGTACAATATTAAGCCAGGAAGCCTTGCCCTTATCATCAGGGCATTGAGAGACAAGTCCAGCCGTGTGCAGGTTGCATAGCACTTGAGCAAGTTCTCCTTCGTAGTCCTGGGGCAAGGAATGGTACGTATTATTGCAAGGTGCTACAAGCTAGGCTTAATGGTTTAAATAACAACCCTTGAGTCCTGCTCGGCGGAGTGCCCGCATCCAGCACAGCGTCAGTCTGAAACCGCAACAGTTCCTTATTCATATTCTCCAGTTCACTAATCTTTGGGGCCATCTCACCAGCCAACCTTGATGCAGCAAGCACGGTACGTACTGTAAATGCATGAGCTATGCAATTAAAAGTGCACTGAAACAATATAATTGGCAAAGGTGCGCTTGTGCTCGAGCGTTCCCGCCATTCAGGCGATCCTGCCGCACATATAATATATCATGTTGTAATCATGCACACAGCACACACTACCACAACCATCCACCACCACCCCCCACTACCAACCCTCCCCCCCGACCCCCACCACACCCCCCCCTCGAAATGCCCAAACTGCGTTTTGCCAGATGTTCACCGCATCTGGCAAAAAAAACCCCCAACCCATCCCACCCCCCTCGCCCCCAACCCAAAACCCAGCACCACCCCCACCACCCCACCACGCCCCCACCACACCCCCGAGGGATCTACCCTGTCAAATTATGTNNAATTATGTAATTCGACAGGGTTGGGACCAACCCCACCCCCATCGCTATACACTCACACACACACACACCCACTCGCCGAAACACCCACACATATGCGTGTTCTGACACACACACACACACAGGAGACGGCGACTGAGATCTTCGAAATCAAGGCCTGCAGGTCTTGACTTGTCAACCTTCTTGCCGGTCAGGTCGATGTAAGTCGCTAAGACACCTGAGATGGATTCGTTTCCGGTGGTAGAGTACTGTATTATGTTGAGGGATGTGCATAACATATAATGCACACCAAGTTTCTGAAGACATCTTGGTTTGCTTGGAGTACCGGCAAACACTTCTCTTTGGCACAAGCGGCTGTTGCATGCATTGCAACACGTGCGTGGTTAACATCTGGCTGCCCAGATACACCACTCCTTAGGATGGCCAAGCTAGGTGCTAGCACAAGCAGCCCAAGCCTATCATGTAGTTAATGCTGGCTCAAGTGTCTGCAGTGCAGACTGCATGGTCACCGAATCGTCGAAAAGCGTTCCAGCTTCATCCTGCAGCACTGCAGTGGCCGGGTTTCACATGTACGGTCGGCCGATTAGCTAAGGGCTCTTTGAGTGCTAAAACCCAACCCTAAACCAGACCAGGCCTGAGCAGTGAAGGAACCAAACTGCCTTGTTCTTTGCGTGTTCTTGTTTTTGAAGAGAAAGCTTTCCTCTGTAGGAACCTTGTACTCCTCCGCCCCATGAACCTCGTTGGTTCGAGTCAGGCCCCTGCTCGTGGCCCAGTTCTTGGCATTGGTGATCATAGTCCTCAGCTCGCACATATGCGTGCATTTCAACTGCATGACTGGAAGCTACGTACTATAGTGCATCCAGAAAACTCAGTCCACCCTTTCAAGGCCATGGTAATCTCACTCTCCCATCCACCCTTCGTGTCATTCTCAGACGTTTGCTCGTTGATTTTTTCCAGCTCCATCTCGACAGCTTGAAAGCTGCCGTGTTGGCGTAGCATTTCTCGTAGTTTCTCTTCTAAGTGCGCAGGAGCAGATCTACTTCAGTCGAAGCAGAGGCTGAGGCCATGGGTGTATGAATTAAACCAAGTGTCTGCCAGCTTTGTCCCTGAACATAGCCATGGCCTGCTCGGAACACTTGAGCTCGCCTTTCTTGTTCGGGGTAAAGTAGCGATGAAGCCTGGGATGCGGGCCCGGCTTGGATTGAACAACTGCACATCGACAACATCCTATGCATGAATAACAGACAAGACATGGTGCTTCCAGTAGGAACCATCTGAGTAAGCCGAACTGGAACTCGAAGCAGATGGGGCTGGGGATGGTGGGGGTGCATGCCTGCGGCATGCACTTCCTTTCTTTGACGGTGTGGACTCAACCTGGGTTGGGGTGATTTCACCACCGGCACCCGGGGGAACACGTTGGGCCCTGGACCTCACCACAACCCGCCCCTTGCCAGCACGAGCTGGCGTTGCCACAGGAACAGAAACTGCCACAGGCTTGGGTGCAGTGATAGCAGAGGGCTGGTGCGCATGCCCAGGTAGGAAGGACCCGGTTGCCGTAGCTTCATGAACCGGGGCAGCAGTTGGCAGTCCTGGCAGATGTCACACTTATCGTTTGTTGAAGAATGAAGAACTCTGCTGGGTCCTGAAGTGTCGCTGCCGTCGAAGGCGGCCAGCTCCTGTTGAAGTTGAAGCACCCGACTTGTCTGTGCCTTGGTTGCAAGCAAGGAGCCGGCCGAAGCTCGGGCCCATTAGACTTGCCTGTGTCAAGTATTCAGCTTAGATTCAGCAATCTCCTCGTCCAGCTCGAAGACCGGGGTGGTTGTGCTCTGGTTTGCAATCATGTCTAGACCCAGCTCCAGGGATTTACAGGTCACAGTTCGTGTTACCGCCATACCAGCTTGATCACTACAGCTGAACTGCAATATCAGTGTTTGTGGTGTATCGAAACGAGCAAAAACACAGAAATCCTGATTTGCGCCCGTTGCGGCTTTTTGCGTTCGTTTTGCGGGATTTTGCGCCCGATTTGCGGGTAAAACTGCCCGAGCTTTTGCGGCTAGGACCACAAAGTGCCTCAAGCCAACATGCAGCCATTATTGTCCAGCATGTGCCAACTCAAGATCCTGTCGAAGCGGGTCACCCTGAAGCACCTCAGCAACTGTTTGTGCTAGTATGACCCCGAGATATATTAAACTGCATACAACATGGCATCATGTGCAGCACAGGAGCACTGTCCAGAAGCTGGGTGTTCAGGGCTGCCATAGTGCTCTTCCATGCTTCGGGCACCACAAGGTGTTTATTGCAGTACAAGTACTCCCAAACTTGGACCAGCTCTGCATCACCCCATGTGTCACCCAGACTTAGCCCAGAAAAGAGCTCCCGATCAGTCATCTCCACAGGGAGATGAACTTTCTGTCGTAAACTCAGGCGAGGTGGAGCTGCAGATGATTGCTCCTGCTGCCAGAGCTCAAGCAGCGCCTTGCCAAAGGCTTTTGTGAAGGTCCTGAGAAAGGGGTTTGTGGGGTATCATTTGGGGTGTAGGTTTGGGATGTTTAGGCAGGACCCATCGCACTCAATCGAGGGCCCCACCCACTATCCTTCAGAGCCTTCTTGTTCCCAACAAATTTTCGCACACCATGATCATCTTGATAGCGGCCTAGGACACACAGTTTGCTACTGTATTCATATTAAGGCTGCACAGCTAGGGTTCTGACGGACGGTGCGTACACTGGTGCCCGCTCGCATCTCTCGGGTCGGAGGAGTGGGGTCCTTGCGTGCAAGCGACTAATTATATGTACACTAGTGTGATTCATAAATGCTATATACTAAGGGCAGAGCCAAACCGTTGGCAATGATCCATGAGTTTGTCCACAAGACTGTAGGCTTTGGACATGGAGCTCCAAACCTCTGGAGCCAGCAGGATCGCTTGAATACCTGGGCTTCGACGCTGGGTTCAGGCACGGGGATTTCTTTAATGTAGTCAGGGAAGGAGCTACTCTCTCAGCAGGAGTATTTGCTCAGTACGGACCGTAAACCGTGTGCTCTGCTCTCTGCCTCCCTCTGTGGGGTGGTGGGGCGGGGGCGGGGGCAGGGGGTGTGGTTGGGGGGTGGGGTGTGTGTGGTGGGGGTGTGGTGGGGGTGTGGCAACCCTGTCGAATTACATAATTTGACAGGGTAGAT